AACAGAAAAATCCCCCCCGCAAATATGCACGTATAAATGGTGGAGAAGGGGAAAGACTCAATTCACCTAAGCAGTTAAAATCTCCAGTTCCTACCAAATCTATAATATTGTCTTACAACTTGCACCCTTTAAAAAAATATAGAAATTGGCACCAAGTCAACCTATCCCTCTAGCTCATCATTCTCAAGGGAACAAAACTGACCCTTGCATAAAATTGAATGTAAAATGCAATACAGAGGGTATTCCCAGTCAGGCAAGAAGGATTAAATCATGCTTCTAAGCCAATATTCTTTTTAGAGTAATTTTAGGAACATCTCCCTTACTCTGCAGTAATCTCTTTTTTCTCTCTGTCTCCCTCTCTCTCTCAGGTGACTCTCACTTCTTCATTAGACATGATTTGATGGTTTTATAATTTGAGATATAAAACTGAAAATAAATATCTAATTACACTGATAAGAATGCATATGATTTCAAAAAGAAGCTGAGATCTTCCTCCAAAACATTCAATATCTTGGTTGTTTTTCCTTTCAACAATATTGTTTAGCTTCTGCTCTGTAAGGATAAATGGAAACTGTCCATGGAAGTATTTTGGTCACGCACAGCTGCACTCAGGCACTGTTAGCAGAATGTTGCTGTTGAGGAAGATAATATGGGTCAACATTTCCACACTTATGAGGACTTCATTGTAAAATCAAGATTACTTCCTTTAAACAAAGGTTTGATTCTAGAAGAATTAATATATCACTGAAGGATTCTTTGTTTTGATGGAAGTGACAGGGAAGGTAGGAGGGAAGCCAAGAGAGAGCCCAATAGCTATCCAACTGTCACACACAGCTGAGGAGCCCAACGCTGAGAGACAGGAAGTCAATTTCCAAATGGATCATATAAGACCAGAAGTTTGGTGCCATAACCTCAGATACATAAGATGAATCCAGCACATTCTGTGTGGTTGTCAACACAGTCTCATAGACAAGATTTCTGAGAGTTCTTTGGAAAGAGTTGGGGATGACAGCAACTTAGGTTGTGGAGAGTAATGCAGAGAAAGTATATTATGATGGACAAAAAGAGACTTTTCTGTCATTTATGTTTGGAACACACAGAATGGGGAAAAAAGGGAATATTATGTCATAACATGCATTTTCTTTAAAAGATCTATGCTATATTCAAAGACAATGTTTTCAAATTAAGAACAAAGAAGTAGTCCTTATTAAGTATTGATAGCTAATATAGCAGAAAACATAGAAACATGAGGCAGATTATGTGGATCCAAACTCTGCCTTTGCTATTCATATGCTGTGTGAGTTTTCACAGGTTACCTGTCTTTCTGTGATTCAGTTTCATCTATAAAATGGTATAAACATAGTAAGCTTTTGTTTCAATGATTAAATAAGTTTATATGTGTAAATCACTTACCAGAGGGTCTGGTACATACGGATCACTCAATTAACTTTATTCATTACTGTTATTATTCAAGTTAATAATGTCTTATTTGAATAATATGTCCCCTATAGGAGTCTGGCAAAGTACTCAAATAATTTGTAGGTAATGTTGAATTATTCTCCATAAACTGACTCTAGGGAGAAATAGCTACTGACAGTAAAATGCTTTAAATATACCCATTGGAAATATGTCCACTTTACTATCTATATGAATACCTATATATAGTATATTAATTAAAATATTTTCCAAGGTATGCCCCAATTTTGCTTTAAAAACAGGGGCACCTGGGTGGCCCAGTTGGTTAAGCATCTGACTTCAGTTCAGGTCATGATCTCACAGTCCGTGAGTTCGAGCCCTATGTCGAGCTCTGTGCTGACAGTTCAGAGCCTGGGGCCTGCTTTGGATTCTGTGTCTCCCTCTCTCTCTGCCCCTCCCCTGCTCATGTTCTGTCTCTCTCTGTCTCAAAAATAAATAAAAACATTAAAAAATTAAAAAAAATATATATATATGTGTGTGTGTGTGTGTGTGTGTGTGTGTAAGTATTTATATTTGCAAACATAGAATATTATTTCAGGAAAGATACAAAAATCTGTTCGTTATTACCTCTGAGGAAGGAGATGTGGATATGTAATGGAAAGAAACTTAACTTTCATTGCATTATCTTTAATGTTAGGATTTTTATTTTTATTTTTTTTTCAACGTTTATTTATTTTTGGGACAGAGAGAGACAGAGCATGAACGGGGGAGGGGCAGAGAGAGAGGGAGACACAGAATCGGAAACAGGCTCCAGGCTCTGAGCCATCAGCCCAGAGTCTGACGCGGGGCTCGAACTCACGGACCGCGAGATCGTGACCTGGCTGAAGTCGGACGTTTAACTGACTGCGCCACCCAGGCGCCCCAATGTTAGGATTTTTAAATCTAACACCATTTCAATAAACACTAAATAAAAATATTTTCTTTCCCCATACAAAGCAATTTATTTTGCCTTATCACATGTATTTTCTGTTTCAATGAAGTATTTTTCTTTTGCAACGATAGGCACAGTCCTCAGAAATCAGAAGGCACATGTTGAATTATGCATGAATGTTAAGAGAACTTTTTAACTCTGGCATTAGCAGAACTTCCTACCGGGGTAGGGCAGGAAAATACCCTGTTCATTGATGACCTGCCAGAGCAAGATTAACACTAGTGCACGTTGCCAAAAGTAGTATTCTCTATTCTAGATTATTTAAAGGATGTAGTCTTCCAAACCAGAAAGCTATATTGGGATCCCATTACCATTTTTGTCTCTGACATCAATAAATCAAAGAACTATTTGGTACAAATACAATGGACATATCACAAGGTTATAATGGACCATTGTGGTTCAAGCAAACAAGGGATCCCTAAATGAAGAGTATACTTTTATCCTGAAGAGAAAGAAAACCAAAAAATAGCAGAATTTTTCCAGTACAATTTCTAGGAAAGTTGTGAAATAACCTTCTTTTTATAAAGTGTTGCAACTGTTGACTACGCATATTAAAGGAGCACATATTTTTTCTTCTTTTATTTTTAACATCTTTGCAACAATTATTATCTAACTTTGAACTTGTGCAAAGTTTCTTTAAGGATAGTTATTTTAAGTCATCAGAGTAAGCACTCACACTGGGGGATATTTTCACTTTTATCTATAGACTATAAAAAGTAACTTAACAGGTATAAATTGCTATTTTGATAAATTCATTAGCTGAAATCTTTTGTAGAACCTGTGTGCAGAATTAATTGCTTTCCCTCTCAGAATAATCAAGCCATGTTTGTTCACAAAAAATGTAATGAAATTATTGCAGTAATTTATAATTATGCCAATGCTGGGAAAATTCATTGTTTTCTAATTGCATAGAAAATGTACAGTTCAACCATTATGTTGTACATACTAAAAAGGAGTTTGTTATACTATAGAAAATGAATTTTATTTTATTTTATTATTTTTTTTAATTTAAAAATTTTTTTTCAACGTTTATTTATTTTTGGGACAGAGAGAGACAGAGCATGAACGGGGGAGGGGCAGAGAGAGAGGGAGACACAGAATCGGAAACAGGCTCCAGGCTCTGAGCCATCAGCCCAGAGCCTGAGGCGGGGCTCGAACTCACGCACCGCGAGATCGTGACCTGGCTGAAGTCGGACGCTTAACCGACTGCGCCACCGAGGCGCCCCGAAAATGAATTTTATTTTGAAACAAACTCCTTTTTAGTACGTACAACATAATGGTTGAGCTGTAATAAATTCTTTTGCCTTTTTTAAAAAAACACTTTACTCTTTTAGAGCAGTTTTAGGTTTACAGAAAAATTAAGAGGACGGCACAGGGATTTCCTATTTACCCACTGCACATGCAGACCCTTCCCATTACCAGTATCTACTACCACAGTGGTACATTTGCTACTACCGGTGAGCCTATACTGACACATCATATTACTAAAATTCTGTAGTTTGCCTTAGGGTTCACTCTTGATGCTGCAGAATCTAAGGATTTGGACAATTGTACAACGGCACATATCTATCATTATAGTATTATATAGAGGATTTTCACTGTCTTAGCGTAATAACACTTTACCCTGAAAAGTTTGGTTACAAATAACTCACATCTGACAACACTATTTGAAATGCAAATTTCAAACTATTATTTATTTAATCAGTATCTTTCCTCTAGCATAATACTGATGAAATAATTAATAATATCAAATGAAATGATTAAATGTTAAAATCTCCCAACAATTGCTTCTGGACAAGAGCTATTGGCATTAAACAAGAAACCCCATAGTACTCTGCAATCTAATTCCATATTTAACTAAGACGTCAAGCAGAAAATTACTCATCCTTCCAAAAGAGGTTTAAGTAACCCTTTAATCACGAGGGTCTGAATAATGCTAATCACTGAGGAAAAAATAATTATTAGGTCAGAGGAGAAAGTCAGTCACTAAGTGCACTTATAAAAAAGATGCTAATATATGTATTGTGCAGCCATTGGGATAACAAGTAAGGCAGGCCATTACTATTTTTATATAGACAATTGGAGGCCTGTGTACTTCTGCAAAGTCTGTGAACTTTGACCTTTAACTGCCACAAAAATAGATAAAGTGTTAACTATAGGGAAACAGCTCCACCATTGTGCCCTGGTTACCTTGCACACATCCATACAAACAGAGGTTTGAATCACATCATATCTGAGTCTTGGCAGGATGCTTTATGATTCTCTTGGAATAGGAGAGATGCTGGAATTCATAGAAAGGTAATTGTTAGGAGTAAGGCTTTGACGGTGAAGTTGACTGTATAAAGTTCTGGTATATATTGGCTGCGGAATGCTCCAAAGAGTAATATTGTTGTGTGGATGTTTTTTACGATTATATTATGATAATATTGGCATATTCTGCTAGGAAAAATAGGGCAAAGGGGTCTGCTGTACATTCAACATTGAATCCAGAAACGAATTCTGATTCTCCTTCTGTTAGGTCAAAGGGAGCCCAAGTAGTTTCTGCTGATGTTGAAATGAAGCATATTATGGCTAAGGGTCTTGTGGGGAAAACTAATCATAGGTGTTCTTGGGCGGTAATTCATGTGGCTAGTGTGCAAGATCCATTTATTAGTAGTACTGATAGGAGGATGATGGCTAGTGTGAGATGTGAGCGATAGGAGGATGATGGCTTTGTGTGAGATTGTTTGGGCTTTGGCCGAGAGGGCTCTGATTAAAGCGTATTTTGAATTTGAGGCTCATCTTGACCGTAAGATTGAGTAGACGGGGAGGCTTGACATACCCAATATAAATAGCACTTCTGGTCTTATGTTAATGAGTGGATATGGTATTGGTAGAGGGATGCATATGGGTAGGGCAAGTGAGAGGGCTAAGATGGGTGCTATAATGAATATAGATATGGAGGATGTGAGGGGTCAGTGGGGTTCTTTGGTGAAGAGTTTTACCCTGTCTGCAGTGGGCTGAAGCAGGCCATATGGTCCTACAACGTTTGGTCCTTTGCAAAGTTGCAACCTGTAAGGCCCTGTCCTACTCACTCTTTTTATCCCATGAGAGGCTGTTATGAAACAGTTTTTCATAGTCTCTGGGGTCTGATGAGGTGTGGGACTTTCTAGCTCATCTCCCCCAGAATAGTGTCAGAATATAAACTTACTTAGCTACAGTCTATATTTGGTTCCTCAGCAACAGTATGTCCAAAAGATCTCATTGCAACCTCCCATCCTTTTCATTTCCATATTATCCTTTTTGGTGTATGGAACAAAAATAGCGTGGAACGGGCACCTTTGGCTTATAATTCTTTTCATTGTTTATGTAAGTGATAAACTGTCTAAATCTGTAAATGGCTCATTGTATCCTTACCAGCTCAAGTAGTCCGGCCTTGGGCTTGGCCTTGCCAATATTGTGTGTTTGCTTGACAATAACAGAAGCTCTACATTGAGTATATTACATTTAAACTCAGAACATGAGATGCCATGAGGTATATAGAAGGAGACCAGAACTGAAACAACAAAACTGTAAAAGTATTTTGGATGGAGATCCATTGGTTGTCTAATAATTTATTTCAGTTGTTTATAATCATCATTTTTAAATAATGAAATAGAAACAAAAAAGAGGGAAAATGAAAATAGACTAGTATAATTACAGAAAAAATCAGAGTTCATAGCATTTAATAATGTTAAGCTAGCATATAAAAACATTGTTTTGTGAAATTTATATTTCAGTAATTTATATGAGTATCCTCTGTATCATTTAACTATGGCCATAATAACTCTATACTAAAAAAAGAAACAGGGAAAACTAAATCTCAGCAGCATACAGTAAAATTTTATTTAGCTCCAAAGTTGGTAGGTTGGTTAGAGTTTGCCTATTCTAGTCTAGGCTTCACCGAATGCCTCTACTAATCTTAACGGGGCTCATTCATTTTAAAGGATGGGTGTCAATGGTTCTGTGGTCAACTTGGCTCAGTTTGGCTCTACTCCATGATCTGTCATCTTCCTCCTAGGACCAGAGAGCTGCCATTGCATATTCATGTTCTTCCCATGGCAGTAGTTGGGGCATATATACTTTTCATGTTTCTGTTTGCATTATATCAGCAAATATCTGGCCAGACCAAGTCACCTAAGAACCTAGAGCCAAGAGATCAGGAAGGACAGTCTTCTTACAGTGGAAGGGCACTGCAAAGTGACATGGTAAAGGGTATGGATATATAATCCTATTACTGAAGAGTTGGAACAATAATCCAGTTAGCCACATTATCCCTAGCCAAAGTTTCTCTATCTGAACATATGCTTCAATGGAATGCAATCGTGTGTATTCAAAATATCATGTCAAAATCTAAAAAGCTTTATAATAAATATATATGCATTTTCCAACAAAAATAGTTTAGTTGCCTGTGAGTCTAAGAAAATATAAGATCAACTTGTTATCATCGTTCAGATTTTCTTCAAACAGGATCAAATTGTGTACTTCTGTCATTTAAATGTATTGTGTATTATGGCTACAACCCACCCCTTATTAACTTAAAAATGTCTTCAAAAAATGGTACATGTTTTCAAATAAGGTAATTGAATTCAGAGACCTAGAAAGGCTCATGCATTAGAAGTTGGAAGTTGTAAACCATATAGATAGAGTAAAGCACATAAAGGTTGTAAACCTGGACATGAGTAAGAAAATAAACAAATATGGTGGACATGGCATTTGATTCTAGAAAGCTTTACCATGTTACCAAACTACAATTTAATCTTTTTGCACTAACTAAAGAATCTTTTCTGTAATGGATTATTGGCCATCAAGTATCACATGCATACTACAAAATATGTTGTACATATTTAAAAATCTGAGGAAAGAGGAAATCAAGAAAGAAGTTGATTTGGTGCAGGAACTGGGTTTCAATAAATATTGGATGCATCAATGACCTGAGAAAAATATGCAAATCTATATAAGATAATGGGTGAAATGCCTTCCACAGATAGTGAGGTGGAAACAATTTTTCCCAAAAAATTACACTAAAAAGCAAATTTCCATGCTTATCATTGAGGCACTCAGTCAATTTAATTTTCACTGTCAATCTAAAGATCCAGGGATACTTGACATCAAATATTAAAGGAAAAAGAAAATATTAGAAAGACAAAGTCATTTAAATTGCAATGAGAATGAGTGTGACATAAGCTGAAAGCTTATTTTCAAAAATGCAATTACAAAAAAAAAAATCTTGGTTTATCAGGCCCAGTATTAAGCAGGGAAAGGATCTCAAGAAGACTTTTTCTGTTGTTCATTGCATTGCTTTGACTAAGGCTTCAGACGATAGGTGATGCATAGTCATTTTCTTAAAGAATCTTGGGACCCAAGAAGAAAAGACTATCTACCAGATCTTTGAATTTGTCACAAATGGAATTTGGACATTTACTCTTTTACTTGTTCCTTCACTGGCTCATTCTCGCCCATCCCTCAAACATCAATGATGACTACCACATTCATCTCCACCTTCTCACCACTAAATCCTACCTCCCTTCAACTGATAAGTAGCTTTCATTTTAAAAGTTTTTACATTTTTTTATTTTTCCAAATGTATTTGGCTTCATTATGAAATTTTAAAATATCATGCCATTAATTGTTTGCATCATATTATGTTACATGTCCCTTGCATTGAAAAATGATAATGTAATTTGTATCTAATAAAATACACAGTATCATTGTGTTTTTCCTCAAAATATGCCTACAAATGAGTTCGTTAAGTGTTACAATATTAGTCAACTAGACTTTTAAGTGATTTATAATATCCTTAAACTCCTAATAGATTTTTATATATTCATTTGAGTTGTTTTAATAAACTTTGGCAAAGTTTGAGGGGACTTTTGTATGGGCTGAGAAATCATTGAATTTTTTTAAATGATGAACATCAAGGTTCCTACTATGTTAAAAATTTTATATTAAACAAGTTTACAGAAATGGGCTAAGTTTCAGTAATGAGAGATGCCTATATTGTGTGCATGTGTGTGTGCATGTGTGTGTACTTGATCATGTAAGTCACTATCAGAAAAGATTGGAAGCCTCTAGAGAACTCTTTTACTCCAAACTATAGAAGTGTTAATTTAGGTCTCTAAAAATAGGGGGTAGGGGACAATCCACACTGAATTCCATGACCTCATAACTATATTTAATCCAAAAGTTACAAATGCTTTTCCTCAGATGAAGGGAAAAGACAAGAAAAAATATAATAAGCATTTACTGGATACTTTTCAAATATTGTAGTTAGTCGTCACAGCTGCTCTACCATTAATTCAGCATTGAAGGCAGTGGAATAGCCAGCAAGAACCAGGAGATCTCATTAGCCAGGACTCACTTAAATGAGGAATTTTGGTTATATACCATATGAGGTTATAAATGGAACCATGTTTTTGTATGTAGTTTCTTGCATTTTTTATGCTTCAGAGAGTCCATTTATAAACAGAGAAAAAAGCTCCCAATATTATTTATTTAAAAGTAAATGTTTAAGGATGCCTGGGTGGCTCACTTGTTTGAGTGTCCAACTCTTGCTTTTGGTTCAGGTCATGATCCCAGGGTTGTGCGCTGAGCTTGGAACCTGCTTAAAATTCCCTCTTTCTCTCTCGCTCTCTCTCTCTCTCTCTCTCTCTCTCCCTCTGCCCCTTTCCCCCACTCACACGTTCTATCTCTCTACAAAATAAATACATAAAAGTAGATGTTTAAAATACACCACAGGTTTTATAATTCTACTATATAAAATTGGGCTTCTTTGTTCATTTTATAATGGAATTCTCAGAAAGTGTAACTTAGTCTGGTCTCTGTTACCTGATGACATCTCTTGCATGGGAATTGTTATCACCCAATGTTACATGGAAGGAAGATGAGATGAAAGAAGTAATATAGCTCTTAAGCAAGAGATGCATGATTCAAAAGCAGAGAATCCATACATCTCTCACTACGAAGCATTTAAATCAACTTTAAGCATGCTTGACTTTTTGATAATCTTACAAATTTTGATATTTGGAAAACATTTTTTTCATTATTGTAGCTACACTTTGCAGGTGTAAATAATCAATGATAAAATTGTTGTGTTGAAACACTGTTTTTTGTAGAGTAAAAGAGCAATACATTCAAATGATATTCTTTTGTTTAACATAAGGATAACAATGATATGTATTGATAATTTATTTTTAGATCCAATAATAATCTTAGGTCTATTATTTATTTCAAAATGAAAAGATAACAAAGCTTTTGTTCATCAGACTCAAGGAACAGTGGAACATAAGCTTGTCTTCAGTATATCTTTCATATAAGTTTAAAACCATATTTTCACTAAAAATGTTGTTAATCTATACACATATTTAGTTTTCCTCCCATGTTCTTAGGCACTTGATGACACATAAATATAATAGAAACACTTTTGAGCTATTTTTCTGAAGTGCCTCCATGAGGCCAGAAGCTTCTGAGGCCTCTAAATTGTATAACTTTACAGAAGAATACAATTGTACAATATTCATAACAAAATTGCACTCGTAACTAACTTTGATCAGTAGTCACATTATTTTTGTGGATATGTCTTAAAAAAGCAATAAAGATGATTAATATCTATCAATATTCCCTCAAATACAGTCCCTCAGGGACCAAACTCAGGCAATCTACTCAGCTACCATCTGCTGCACAAGGTTACTCTGTCCCTACTTGCAAATGATTCCAATTCTTCCATTAGCCTGAGACAGGACATTGTAGGTATCTAGAGTAAATACAGTGTTCTTACCAGGACTGGATTCTTTTAAATTCTTTAGAGAATAGAGACAACATGCTCAGGATATAAAGTAGGAATTCTCTGCCTTCATTCATTATTTCAGAATTTGTATGGTAGTTTCTTGGAGCTTATTTATACTTTGTAGACCTCATGATCATACAGAAAAAAAGGTCTTCAGTATTTTTTTATGTCTATTTATTTTTGAGAAAGAGAGAGCATGAGTGAGGGAGGGGCAGAGAAAGAGGGAGACAGAGGCTTCAAAGCGACTCCATGCTGACAGACAAAGAACCTAACTTGGGGCTCAAACTCATGGAACCACCAGATCATGGCCTGAACCGAAGTCAGACACTTAACCGACTGAGCCATTCATGTGTCCCAGGTCTTTAATATTTTTTAAGCGGATGTTGTTTAAGGAAAGATGTTGTTTAAAGATACAAACTTGCAAGTGGTAGATAAATAAATCCTGGAGATCTAATGTATGGTGTAGTGAATATAGAAAACAA